TGCGATTGGCACAGGACAGAGCGGAGTTTAGGGCTGTTGTACATAGGGTCGCTGTGAGTCGCAAGCGACTCGACGGCACATAACAACAACAACAATCTAGAAATTCCATAATGCCCAGCTATTCCATTGCTTGGCATATACCCCAAGAAAATGAGAACTGAGGTGCAAATAGAGACTTGTATACCAATGTTCATAACAGCATCATTCACCATCACAAGAACATAGATACAGCCCAGATGTCCAACTACAGTCGAATGGATTGAGAAATTATGGTACATTCACATAACGGAATAATACTATGCAGCAGGCAGGAGCAATGATTTTTGTAAATTACTACCTAACTTGGTAGGGACTGAAGAGCACATGCTGAATGAACTAACTCAGTCCCATTCATTTCTTGATGGATACAGGTTGTATTCATAGTTATGAATGTTAATGACTCAGGTCCCACCTTTTCTCAGCCTGCATTCTTCAGTCCAGAGCCACCATCTTTAAATCACAAGTTTTTACCCTTCAGGCATTTGCTTAAAGATCAACTCCCTCAGGAATCTCCTCTGAATTTCACCCTTATCTATCACACACTCTATTTGTTTCTAGTATGTCATTCACTACACATAGGATACAGTAACAAAGAAACCTGTGCAATCAAGCAGTTTACACTGAGTGTGAGAGATAGTTATTAAACAAAATCAAATGGGAAACATGTATCAGTGTTGAATGTTACAAGAAAAATAACTATAGAAAGGGACAAGGAAGTGTGTGGCATGTTGCAATTTACTTCATAACTTTCTTAACCTACACTATCTGTTTTCTCTGTGTTGTAAGTTAAACAACTCTATCCTGTGCCAATCACATTGCCTCTGACACACCCATCCCGATTACCCCAGTCACTGAATCAATCCACCTCATAGAGGGTCTTCCCCTCCTGCGCTGTCCCTCCACCCTACCAAGCATGATGTCTCTCTCCAAAAACCTATCTCTCCTTACAACATGTCCAAAGTATGTCAGACGAAGCCCCAGAATTCTTGCCTCCAGGGAGCAGCCTGGTTTAACCCTCTCTACAATGAATCTGTTTGTTTTCTTGGCAGTCCAGGGTACATTCAATACTCTTCTCCAGCATCACAGCTCAAAGGCATCAATTCTCCTTCTATCCTCCCTAGTCATTGTCCAACTCTCTGATGCATAACAAGTGATTGGAAAGACCATGGCCTGTATCAGGCGCACCTTAGTCTCCACAGAGACACCGTTGCTCTTGAGTACTTTAGAGAGGTCCCTAATACCAGACTCTCCCATCGCAATATGTTTTTTTATTTCCTGGCTATTGGTGCCAAGAGTGTTGACCGTGGAGCCGAGCAAACTGAAGCTGTGAACAATCTCAATCGCTTCGCCATCCATCCTGATGCTACCAATTGGTCCAGTGGTGAGAATCTTTGTCTTCTTGACATTGAGCCTCAGTCCATAATGAAGGCTGCAGTCCTTGACCCTCTGCAGCAAGTGCATGAGGTCCTCCTCAGTTTCAGCAAGGGTTGTGTCATCTGCATAACGCAGATTGTTAATAGATCTTCCACCAATCCTAACGCCACGCTTCTCCTCATAGAGCCCAGCCTCTCGGATAATCTGTTCTGCATACATGTTGAAAAGGTATGGAGAAAGGACACATCCCTGGTGTACAGCCTTCCCAATTTTGAACCATGTGGTGTTACTCTTCTCTGTTCTGACGACTGCCTCTTGGTCCAAGTATAGGTTTTGCATTAGCATGATTAAATGTTCTGGGATTCCCATTCTTCTCAGAGTCAGCCACTGTTTGTTATGATCCACACAGTCAAACGCCTTTGCATAATCAATGAAACACAGATAGACATTCTTCTGGTATTCCCTGCTTTCAGCTAAGATCCATCTAACATCAGCTACAATATCGCTAGTACCACGACCCCTTCTAAACTCAGCCTGGACTTCTGGCAGTTCTCTGCTGTTGTGCTGTTCCAGTCGTTTTTGGATAATCTTCAGTAGAATCTTCCTTGCATGTGAAATCAATGATATTGTTCTGTAGTTTCCGCACTCAGTTGGGTCACCCTAATTAGGTAGATTTTGTAAATTATTATCTAATTTGGAAAGGACTGGAGAACATTAGGCTGAGTGAACTAACACAGTCCCATAAGGACAAATACTGTATAAAATCATTATTGTAGAATGAGTATGAGGACCCAAGGAGGAGGGAGGGTGGAAGCAGATGGGTGAGGATGTGTGGTGGGAAAGGATTAATCATGGGGTCGCACAATTTGATGGGTGGAAAGGTGAGGGAAATGGTAAAGCTATGGTGTGGAAAACAATGTATTCTAGTTTTGTAAATAAACTAGTAAAAAAATAATGTAAAAATAGAATAAAATAAATAAAAATACTAAAAAAAGAGAAATGAGTGGATAAACCAAATGATATGCAGTAGATTATTCTGGTATAAAAAGGAATGAAGTGGTGATACACATTGCATACACTATAGGTGAGCTTTGAAAACATTATGCTAAATGAAATAACACATAAAAGGACATATAGGAGGGTGGGAACAGAGGATTGGGGGGGCATTAACCATACGGTCACACAATTTGATGGGGGGGATTGTGAAGGAAATGGGAAATATCCAATGTGAAAAACAGTGTATATGAGCTTTGTAATTAAACCAGGTTAATTTTTTTTTTCAAAGGACATATATAAGCTTCTCTCTGGATGGATAATCTCCTCATGCAATTAACTGACTCTGAAAACCTGCTGTAGTAGGGTCAGCTGTGGGTCGGTTCTAACTTGATGGTACATAACAACCCAGAACTAGTATCTGGCACAGTAGGAAGAGACAGCATGAGAAGGATATACCTAAGTTCACTGTTACTGTTAAATGCCATCTAGTCACCTGCAATCCATAGCAACCCTATGTACAGCAGCTCCCACACCAATCCCCATTGCCCTAGTTACTGTATCAGTCCATCTCATCAGGGGTCTTCCTCTCCTGTGCTGTCCCGCCACCCTTCTAAGCATGATGTCCTTTTCCAAGGATTGGTTCTTCCTGGCCATGTGTCCAAAGTATGTGAAATGGAGCTTCAAAATCCTAGCCTCCAAGGAAAAACTTGATTTCACCCTCTCCAGGACATGGTAGTCCATGCTTTGTTTAAGATTCTTCTCCAACACCACAATTCGAACACATTGATTCTTCTGTCGTTTCTGGCTCTTATGTATAGCAAATCATTTGCAAAGACCATGGACTGGATTAGGTGGACCTTTGTCTCTAGACTGACATTGTTGCTTCTTAGTACTCTGGAGAGGTCCCTGAAAAAGCAGATTTTCCCAGTGCAATTCATCTTTTGATTTCCTGACTGCTGATGTTAAGAGTGTTGATTGTGGAGCTGAGAAAGCTGTAATTGTTAACAACCTCAATCTCTTCTCCACCTATAGTGGTGCTGTCAGTTGGCCCAGTGGTGAGAATCTTTGTTTTCTTGATGTTGAGCTTCTAATCCATATCGAAGACTATATAGTCCTTGACCTTCTGCAACAAGTGCTTCAGTTTCAGCAAGTAGGTATCTAAAATAGACAAATTTGTAGATGCAGAACAATGATTAACGGTTACTTGGGGCTGTGGAGAAAATAGAATGGAAATTTATTGCTTTACGGGTAGGTTCTGAGATGATGAAAAAGTAATGGAAGCAAACAGTGATAATGATTGCATAATATGATTTAAATGACTGGAACAGCATATCAACAGAGAACTGCCAGATGTGCAGGCTGGATTTAGAAGAGTTTGTGGCAATGAAAGAATTTTTTTTTTTCAACAAGAAAAGCAAATGGAGGGGGCATAGGGCGGAAAATGTGCAAAAGTGGATGAATGGAAACCCAAGTTCTCTGTAAACTTTCATTAAAATTCCAATTAAAAAAAAGAAGAGGTTGTTGTACTAGAGTTATTATATCTAATGTTAGGTGGATCTTGGCTGAAAGCATAGAGTACTAGAGGAAAGTCTTACCTGTGTTTCTTTGACTATGCAAAGGCATTTGACTGTGTAGATCATAACAAACTGTGGCTGACTCTGAGAAGAATGGGAATCCCAGAACACTTGATTGTGCTTATGCAAAACTTGTGCTTGGACCAGGAGGCAGTCATCAGAACAGAGCAAGTAAACACAGCATGGTTCAAAATTGAGAAGGGTGTGCGTCAAGGATGTGTCCTATCTC